TGGAAGATTGTTGCCGTTATATATTATGTAATGTGAATACTTGCGTTAACTTTTCATAAATTCTCTGTTGTCTACCTTATTTATACAACCGTTACTGTCACAGCCTATTAAAGTCCGCTGCTGATCAGAGGCCTCCCCTATTGATTGTCTCATAGGAGGGACATTTCAAATAGTTTCCAACCCGCTCGCCAGGCTTGGCAACCGCTGTTTTTTATTTTTAGTCGTTATTAGAAAGACGCCGCTACCCATCTCCAGATTTGTTTCCCTTTGTCACCTCTTACGGCATCCATGGGATTATATGGGGTAGTGGATATTCTTACTCCGCCACTACACCTTATTTATGTTATATCATTATTAACCTTTTAATATAATTTCGATACTAAATCGAAAAAAATAAGACTTTGCATAAAAAGTAAAAGTCTACTTAAAAAAAAAAACAAGAGAGAATGAAATTATTTTACAGACATATTTTCAGAAGGTATTATGCAGAATGTTTTTTATTCTTTATTGTCGTCTTTACTTTTTTGCAAGTTCTTATTAGATCCATGCTGCAGCTTTATTATGGCTGTATCACAAATAGTTAGGTTCGATCGGGGAAGTACCACGCTCTCACAGAATACCAGCGTAAAATAGCAGGCACACACAAACGCACACAGAGTAGGTATTTTCGCCCAAGAATTTTAAAATGTCGGTGAGAATTATAACCGACAGATTGACTAAATGGCTGTGAATTTTGAGTGATTTCAAATGTTCCTTTTTAATAGTCTGAGGAGTGTATGTCAACGCAAAATATTTTACACCTTGTGTATAAGATATCTGCGTTTTATATATTAATGTGCCACTCTCTGTTTTTTGTTTTCTCATATTTATTAAGTATTTGTTTTATTAAATGAGATCTGCAAGAAGAGCACACTCCAAATATTAAAGTAAAATAATTATGTACGAAAGCATACACTCTAAATAGTCAAGTGTGTGCAGACATTAGCAGTATAGCAGTAGCGCCATGTACTAACCTGTATGTGGATTTTTCGCGAGGTGAATACTTTAATATATTTTGTCTTTAGAAATGCGAAGAATTTCATGTCTTTTTACTTTTGTATTATATTCTCCTATTAACTTTTTTTTTAGATAAATCCGATTCCAATAAATCCAACTATAAAAACTGCATTATTAAAATGCAAGTAATTATTTATTATATTTTTAAAACCCTAACCATAACATTATATTTTTCAGGTTTATTGCTTAGAATAAATGTGTATGCCTTATAGGCTGAAAGCTTGTAGAACTGTCCGATGCAGAAACAAAATGATAGCAGAAATATATTGATAATATACACATGTAAATATAGATATAGCGAATATGTATATATATAGGAAGATATGGGATCTTCAATATCCATACATTCCATGGATATTGAAGCAGCAGTCTTATCTCATATCTTTATCGTTAAAATGATCTTCTGATTCATAACAAAATCGTAAATAGACATGTTATCGACAAATTATTTTGGTGTTAATGATGTATGGGATTTATATACCCTGACTTATATACCCACCCTGTTCTTGTCTCTCAGTGCTACCTTTAAGAAAAAATCTTTTAATATTACGATTATTAACGATAAAAATACAATAACATTATAATTTCATGATAAATGTGTCTGTAATAAATATTGGGATATTATACATTGTTTTTTTTTTTAATCCAAACGTAACCAGTTCAAAACATTAACTTGCTATTTATTTATTAGTGTCTAAAATCATAAATGAGTATGTTATTACCCAGTAATTTCGGGCTTAGTGTTATTTAAGGTGTATACGTACTAATCATTCGAAACATATTAAAACAAAGTCTACTGTACTTTTAAGAGAATACTTTTTAAGTTATGACTTATGATAATAAATGCAGTGGCATTTAACTTTGTGTCTTTTCTCCTTACACAACCAGTTTAATACATTTTTATTAATAAAGAGCGTGTATAGGTAAAATTATAAATGGATATATACTTTAATCATAATATTTCTGTATATACATCTATATTCGCTTATCAATCAATATGTGTAAAAATAGTATGCATCCCACGTTTGTATGTTTGTGCACTATATTTTTCCGAAACCACTAAAAGGATTTTCCATGAATTTTAAATTACCTATAAATGCTGAAGGTACCTACAACTTTGTTTTATACTATCAATTACTGAATAGTGCACTATTTTAACTTATAATACCGGTGAAAACTACTAGATAATCGCTTTGGGTTTGTTTTTAGATTATTGTTATTTTCATATTTTAATTACTAATTTCTCAGTATTCCCGTTAGATTCGGCAAAACTAATATTATTTTTGTAATCTATAGACTATAAGGTATAAATCGACATGCAATTCATTAAGTTAAACCACAATTTGTGGTGACCGCATTCTCCACACTAAAAAGAAATTGTCTTCTTTAATTTCTGACGTTTCGTTTGCTTTGCAGCACCCATGGTACATGTACCCAAAATATCCTGATCTTAAATTTCAATAGCCTTTCGTATCATTCTTCCCGTATAATTGAGAAACATCCTAATTTCAAAAGAGGAGGAGACTGGGTACAACCACCTGCTTGGGGTCCGGTAGTTAATAAAATTAAAACAAAGCCCAAGCAAAACCTCAGGACACAGTAGGCTCATTCTGCGAGATCGGACCAATAGCAAGTATTGAAAAGCTGAAGATACTCTGGGTTAACGCGTCGGGACGTCAATTAGTAATTAATTAGTAATTAGCCCCCCCCCCCCCCCCCCCCCCCCGAGTGAAAATGGGTGCTGAGAAGCATCCGCAACGTCGGGAATTAAAATAAAGTAAATAAAACGCGATAAAATTCGTAGAAGCAGTTTTATTTAATAGTGACGTGAAAGAGACCACTACCACATATTACCTTGTGGGTGTTGTAAGAACCTGATAACTCAAATAATAAGAAAAAGCGGATGCAAATGCGGATGAAAGAATCGTCTATCGAACGTAGTAACTTCGGCAAATATATCCCCTGTCGTGAAGCGACAATTAAAAAAAAATATAGAACCTAACCTAAGTACAACAAAACAACAAAAATACAACAAAAACAGAAATATATTCAAAATTCAAAGATATTTACAATTTTATAAAAAAAATGAAATGAGGATGATGATGAATGAAGTGAGAGTACAATTAGATTACAAAAAAAAATATAAAGGTAGGAGAATAGGGGAATAAAGAGATGTAGTGGGGCCTAAAAGTCGAAGCGACACACATTGCGATGGTAGAGGTAGGTTTCTTAGCAGCGACGACACGCAGCGCCTGAAGCCAGCACACGCCGGTTGCGCTTGTAGAGGTAAGTTTCTTAGTAGCGACGGCACGCAACGCCTGGAGCCAGCACACGCAGCGTCCGGAGCCGGCGCACGTAGCGCCTGGAGTAGGTGCGCTCAACGCTTAGAGCCAGCAGTTGCAGCGCCCAAAGGTAGCGCCGGCGGTAGGTGCACTCGGCGCCTGGAGTAAGTAGTCGTAGCGCCTGGAGTAGTGTGGCCCCCGCGCTTGTAGTAGTCTCGAAGCGACTTCCGAGGTAGATGGAGGCTTGTAGGAATCCGGAGTGGTGCGGCTCCGCGTTTGAAGAAGGCTTCGCCGAAGACTTCACGTGTAGGTGGAGGCTTGCAGGATCCCGGGGCAGTGCGGCCCCGGGATAAGGCCTTTAGGAGATACTTCCAATTCGCGAACTGAAGCGAGACTCCTTTCTTCACCGATTGTTCGGCTTTTATACCTTTCTAGAGAGAACGGAAAAATTATTTAAATTAAACGCAATTTTTTTTGTAAATGGTCAAGAGAAAAAAGTATTTATGTGGAATTATCGAAATAGGAACAACAGATCGGTAGCAAATTTGAATATAATTACTATAGCAACGAAATAAATAACAATATCAAAACATGTCAAATTTTGGTTTTAGGTTTATAATAAGAAAACGGTAAGATTTAAGTGGAAAATGAGATATTATTGATATAGGAAAAAAGGTAGCGCAGCTGCCCACACAAAGCCCAAGATTGTAGAGTTACGGAAAACTAGCTAGAAGATCGAAAAAAGGTAGACTCCATTGACACCAATTTAAAAGTGCTGATAATGTGAAAATACGAAGTAGAAATGATTTGTTATTGTGTTCTTATGGTTTAAAATCGTTACAGGATCCTATGGAAATAAAGGTGATGTAAAATATCCAGTTTTGAGGTCAATGCAGAAAATCGAAACAGAATGGAAAAATGAATTTAAAATAATGTAAAATGATATGTAAGTAGCATAACACTACATTTTCCCCCCGACCCTGGAAAATTTTTGAATCAGCAAAAATTTTGATATATACATTCTAAAATAAACCATAAAAACACAGCTTTGCAGAAACAGACATCACCAGGCAAAATCAGATATACCATCTCTTACATTCATCATCTGCCATTCAGGTAAGGGTGGAGTTCACATTCAATGACTACCACTCTAAAAGTGTGTTTTCGAAAGGACATTCAGGCTTATTTAAGGAGTTGTCATCCGCTCCTGCGTGGAAAAAAAAAAAATTATTAAGGAAGTAGTCACCACTCTAAAAGTGTGTTTTCGAAAGGACATTCAGGCTTATTTAAGGAGTTGTCATCCGCTCCTGCGTGAAGATAAAAAAAAATTATTAAGGGAGTAATCAGCCGCTCCCAAGTGAAGATAAAGATAAAGAAATACTTCAAGTAAGCTTTAGTCGCTATGACTTAAGTAAAGATTAAGAACGGCCAGAGCGGTAGGGCTCAAAGCCAGAGAACAGCAACATCACCAACGAGATGTGTCTGAAATAAAAATAAAAAGTGACGATTAACCAACGAAAATTCGAGGTCCTAAAGCAAGATGTGTTGAAGAACACTGGATCATCAAACAAACAAATTAAAAGAAATAAATATAATAAGGTGAGAATTATGGTGATATTTATACATATATACAAATTAATAGTTAATAAAAGTTAAGAAAATTTATGATTTTACATCTTTGATGTGCCACTTGCCTCTAACTCCATTAGGGTCTTCAAGTACATAGACTAGTGGTGACAGTTTAGCTATCACTTTGCACTTGATGAACTTAGGGGCAAGTTTAGCATTAAAGTATGCGCCGGCATTGCTTAAAACATGATTTTTACGCCAAACAGTATCTCCCACATTAAATTCTTTAAAAACCCGGCGAAGATCATAGCGAGCGCTATTTTTAGCGTGCGCTATGTGAAGTTTAGTTTGAACTTTGTGAAAGATAGATGAGAGGAGACCAGCATCAGACGCGTAAATATCACGAGGCATAAATATTAATTCCTCGAGGTTCTGAGTTGGAGTATAGAAGGAACCACAAGGTATTGTTTCCCTACCAAAGACTAAAAAGTTTGGAGTAAAGCTAGTAGCTACATTTGTAGCGCTGTTCATTACGTACTGAATCTTAGTAAGATGGTTGTCCCATGATCTATGATCGTCTCCTACTAGAGATGCTAGAGCTGTAATAATTGTACTATTAAACTTCTCCGTAGGATTAACCTGAGGACAATATAAAGCTGTGTGAAAAATAAAAGGAACGTTATAAGAATTTAAGAATGAGTGGAATTCTCGCGACTGAAATTGAACAGCATTGTCCATTATAATAGTTTGGGGAATGCCATGAACTAGAAAAACTGAATTTTCCAAAACATTAATAATATTAGCTGAAGTAGCACGTTTAAGGGGAAAAATCATAGTAAATTTAGTAAAATTGCAGGTAATTACTAGAATATACTGATTTCGTCTTCGAGTCATAGGTAATGGACCCATAAGATCTAAGGATATAGTTTGAAAAGGTCTGGAGCAAAGTTTAGGTTTACCCATAAGACCATAGGGAGAATGATTAGGGTGTTTGTAGGTTAAGCAGGTTTCACAAGTTGAGATTAAATTGGCAATATCCTTAAACATACCAGGCCAATAGTATTTTAAAGATATTTTCTTGAATGTCTTGAAGATACCAAGATGGAGTTCTGAAGGGGAACCATGGTTAACTTCAATAATTGCATGTCTATCTTGAGGTAGTGGAACTTCTTTCCAAATAAAGTCATCGTTTAGACGATCGGGAGAATGGATGCAGCGGTAAAGTTTGTTATCCCTGATAGTATAGTTGGGATATGAGTCTGGGTTGTTGGAGCATCCGAGAAAATTCTTGTTGTAGTGCTCAAGTTTACGATCAGGTGGTTCTTCAATCGTAATAGGGTGTACGCCTTGAGGTGAAATTTCTCGTGTATCAGGACGTTCTTGATTCTTATGTCTTGATAATAAATCTGGAACAACGTTATCCTTTCCTTTTTATGTTTCAGGACAAAGTTAAAGCAAGATAAGCGTAAAGTCCAGCGAGCAAGTCTTCCTGATGGATTCGATAAGTTCTGAAACCATTTAAGTGCAGCATGGTCAGTATATATTGTAAATTCTTTACCATTGTCTAGGTAACATCGCCAATGTTCTAACGCAGTTATTACAGCCAATGTTTCTCTTTCAGTAGTTGAGTAGTTCTGTTGATTTTTGTTTAGTGCTTTACTCATGTAAGCAATCACGACTTCTTTGTCATCTTGATGTTGAGTAAGCATTGCTCCTATACCATAGTTTGATGCATCACAATGTACAGAGAAGGGTAGTTCGAAGTTAGGACAAGCAAGGACAGGAGCAGTTACCAAAGCTTCTTTAAGTTTCTGGAAAGCAGCTGCAGCTTGAGAATTCCAAAGAAATTTAGGAGCGTTCTTCCATGAACAGGTTAGTTGATTGAGTGGAGAGGCAATAGTGCTAAAGTTTGGAATGAATCTTCTGAACCAGCTGCAGGTGCCTATGAATCTTCGCACTTCTTTTCTACAAGTAGGTACAGGATATTCTAATATAGCTTTTATTTTATCTGGATCAGCACGTAGACCGTACTCGTCCACTAGAAAACCAAGGTATTTCAGTTCTTTCCTGAAGAATTGACTCTTCTCAAAGTTAATAGTCAGATTAGCATATGAAAGTTTTTCATGAACTTTCATGAGGAGTGATATGTGTTCATCAAAAGTCTCGCTAATGATAACGATGTCGTCTAGATAGCAAAATACCTTGTTCTCAAATTCAGGGGTAAAAAGCATATCCATTAATCTTTGTAGAGTTGCAGGTGAGTTAGAAAGACCAAAAGGCATTACCTTAAATCTAAACATACCTCTTCCAGGTACATAAAATGCAGTTTTATCCTTATCGGCAGGATTTAAGGGAATCTCCCAAAATGCTTTCGCAATGTCGATGCTTGATAAGTATTTGGCATTCCTCAAGTTGTCCAAAATTTCGCTTATTAGTGGCAGACTATAGGCATCACGACGTGTAACTGAGTTAAGCTTCCTGCTGTCTACGCAGAAACGCCATTCACCATTCTTCTTCGGAGTGATGAGAACTGGAGATAACCAAGGACTTTCGCATTGTTCAATGACGTTCCATCGCAGCATCTTGTCAACTTCATTAATTAACGCCTTTTGTTTTTCAGGAGACAGTCTGTAACATCTTTGTTTGATTGGAAGAGAATCACCAGTGTCAATCTTGTGGGTGATTAAGTGTGTGCATCCCAGGATACCTTTTTCTTCAAAAGAAATTGTCTTGAAGCGTTGGATGATGTCATTAGCGATGTTCTTTTGATTAGGAGTTAAATGCTTATAAGGTAAAACTTTAGTATCTTTAGTTTCGATAGCAGAACATTTAGATTCTGTAAAGTTAAGAGAAGATAAAACACTAGGTAAAAGATTAAATTTTCTCCAAAAGTCAATACCTAATATTAGCGAAGGAAATATTTCAGGGAAAACGTAAGCTTTAATTAAATGAATTTGATTATTGAAATGAATAGGTAAGTCAAAATAACCCAAGGAATTAACTTTTTGATTATTAGCAGTAGAGACAGTAATAAGATCTGACTTGAAAAGTTTGCAGCCCAGTTTAAGAATTTCCAAATGAGAATTATTACCCAGAATAGTTACTGAACTGCCAGAATCTAGTAAACCAGATAAAGTTAAGTTATAAATTTTGACATTAACGAATGGACGATTAAGATCTTGTTCCTTGGAGTAGAGTGTAGAAGAGATTCTGTAACAAGAAAAGAAGTTTTGAATTGTTTTAATCCAATTAGTCCAATCGTCGTTATCAAAGTTTAAGTTACTTTTCAAGTCAGTAGTTAGTTTTTTGAACTAGTATTAGGTTTGGGAGAACAAGTAGGGCAATCTGCAGTTTTAAAACCCTTAAGACCACATTTGAAACAAATCACGAATCGTGGTTGAGTACAAGTGTTCAAAGAATGACCTTGTTTACGGCAGCGAACACAAAAGGAGGTTTGTTGAGGACCTTTAGTTTGAGAGAGACTATTAACTTGTCTAGAAGGGTATTTGTAAGATGGAGTGAATTTATTCATGAGGGGAGGAGAAGGTCGTGAGTTATTAGAAGAATTTGGAGAGTCAACTGAACTTGAACAACTGGAATGCTTGTAGTTGAATTCAGAAATAAGAGGACTTTGTTGTACATTTGGTTCTTTAAATTGTTTGTCTCTGTCTAGGAATTTTTCATAGTTTTGGCAAGTAGCCAGAAGAGAGTCGATAGAGTCAATGTCTTTTAGAGCTACGAAGACTGAATAACATGGGCGAATATTCCTTAAAATAATCTCCAATTGTTCTGTTTCAGAAAGTTTCTTCGAAAGACGAGAAAACATTCCAGACATGATGGAAATATAGATGACAATAGGTTCATCTCGACCTTGAGTTCGATTCCTAATCGCTTCTAAAAGTTTGTGATCATAATCAAAACCACCAAAGTCTTTGATTAATAACGAAGAAAGTTCGTTCCACGTTAAGTTTGGATTCTGATTATATTTAAATCTGAACCAATGAAGAGCATTGTCAGTGAAAATTTCAAAAGCTTGTGAAATCAACAAGTCTTTGGACAAGCCACGAGCTATACAGTATTCTTCCAGTTTTTGAAGAAAGGATCTTGGACAGCTTTTACCATTGAAGGTGTGTCTTTTCAGATCTTTGAAGACGTTGGTTGGAGAAAAAGATTGAGGTGGTGGTGGAGGATACGGGGTATGGACCTGAATAGAATTTTGAGAAACAAGAGGGAGTTCCGTGACAGTCGGGTCAACCGTGACAGTCGGGTCAACAGGAGGGTCAAGTGATGGAGGGTCATTTTCAGTTGGAGCTGGAGTCAAGGATTCAAACTGTTTAGTAATATCGTCATATTTCATCTTCAAAGTATCGAAAATAGCTTTAAAGTCTGGATATAAGTCAGTATCTATTCGTTCCAATCTGTAAAAGATATGATTAATAAAAGTTTCTATTAGTCGCAAGTATTTGGTTTCGCCTTGTAAAAATTTTTTAATTTTACAGTCCAAGTAGGTCAAGGTAGAATCAATTTGAGACAAGTCATCCTCAATCGGAATTGTAGAAGTCAGAATATCTTCAGGGTGAGAATTCGCAACTAAACGCAAAACCTGTTTTTTTAGAAGTAAAACAGTATTAGCTGGTTCCTCACATCTAATCTTCACTTCGTATTCGAGTTCGGCCTTGTTAAGGAATTCGTACGTAATAACCCTTTTCATTGTTATAATTATGTGTAAAGTTAAGTTTAAGAAATAAAAATTTAATTAAAAATTATACCTCTTTAAGTTATCTAGAATAAAAATATTAAAGTAATGGATGTAAGTAAAGTGTTAAATGTAGGTCTAAATATAATCTAGATAAGTTGAAAAACTAGATGAAGTTTTGTTCTAGAATAAAAATATTAAAGTGATGAATGTAAGTGAAGTGTTAAATGTAGGTCTAAATATAGTCTAGATAAGTTGAAACACTAGATGAAGTGTTGTTTTAGAATTTGGAAGGTATGAAAAGGATGAATAAATAAAGAGTTAAGAACGAAAGGGAGAACAATTAAATCAAAAGGGAATGGACAAGGCGCAGTAAAGGTGAAGAATTAAGAGAGAAAGAGGACTTTTACGTTGGGCGCCAAATGTCGTGAAGCGACAATTAAAAAAAAATATAGAACCTAACCTAAGTACAACAAAACAACAAAAATACAACAAAAACAGAAATATATTCAAAATTCAAAGATATTTACAATTTTATAAAAAAAATGAAATGAGGATGATGATGAATGAAGTGAGAGTACAATTAGATTACAAAAAAAATATAAAGGTAGGAGAATAGGGGAATAAAGAGATGTAGTGGGGCCTAAAAGTCGAAGCGACACACGTTGCGATTGTAGAGGTAGGTTTCTTAGCAGCGACGACACGCAGCGCCTGAAGCCAGCACACGCCGGTTGCGCTTGTAGAGGTAAGTTTCTTAGTAGCGACGGCACGCAACGCCTGGAGCCAGCACACGCAGCGTCCGGAGCCGGCGCACGTAGCGCCTGGAGTAGGTGCGCTCAACGCTTAGAGCCAGCAGTTGCAGCGCCCAAAGGTAGCGCCGGCGGTAGGTGCACTCGGCGCCTGGAGTAAGTAGTCGTAGCGCCTGGAGTAGTGTGGCCCCCGCGCTTGTAGTAGTCTCGAAGCGACTTCCGAGGTAGATGGAGGCTTGTAGGAATCCGGAGTGGTGCGGCTCCGCGTTTGAAGAAGGCTTCGCCGAAGACTTCACGTGTAGGTGGAGGCTTGCAGGATCCCGGGGCAGTGCGGCCCCGGGATAAGGCCTTTAGGAGATACTTCCAATTCGCGAACTGAAGCGAGACTGCCTTTCTTCACCGATTGTTCGGCTTTTATACCTTTCTAGAGAGAACGGAAAAATTATTTAAATTAAACGCAAATTTTTTGTAAATGGTCAAGAGAAAAAAGTATTTATGTGGAATTATCGAAATAGGAACAACAGATCGGTAGCAAATTTGAATATAATTACTATAGCAACGAAATAAATAACAATATCAAAACATGTCAAATTTTGGTTTTAGGTTTATAATAAGAAAACGGTAAGATTTAAGTGGAAAATGAGATATTATTGATATAGGAAAAAAGGTAGCGCAGCTGCCCACACAAAGCCCAAGATTGTAGAGTTACGGAAAACTAGCTAAAAGATCGAAAAAAGGTAGACTCCATTGACACCAATTTAAAAGTGCTGATAATGTGAAAATACGAAGTAGAAATGATTTGTTATTGTGTTCTTATGGTTTAAAATCGTTACAGGATCCTATGGAAATAAAGGTGATGTAAAATATCTAGTTTTGAGGTGAATGCAGAAAATCGAAACAGAATGGAAAAATGAATTTAAAATAATGTAAAATGATATGTAAGTAGCATAACACTACACCCCTGAGTTAAAATCTAAGGAGGAGAACCTTAGGCCTTTCAGCTGTGGATACGCTGTAATTATCCTGTTATTATCCTATATTAATATCCTCTGCAATGTGGTTGCCTGGTAGAGATCGCTCCCAAGCGATAAGGCCGCCAATTGTACCTTTAAATAAATTATGTTCTTTTTTCTTCTCATATGTATTTTTGTGTGTACAATAAAGTGTATTTCATTCATTCATTCATTATGATAATTTTAAAATGTATTTTTTCAATATTTAAAACAATAAAAACAACAGAAAAAAAGCTCGTCTTTTAGCAAGTAAAGTTGGGATTCGGAGAAAAAGCTGGTATGAGTAATATACCTTACCAAAGATATTTTTCGAAATATAGAAGAATTAAGCTAAATGAAATTTAGTAAATTTTTGTGAAATTTTAATAAATTTTAAGTAAATTTTGGGATAGTTATGTTTCTAGCAATGGTTTACTTGAAAGGTTTGTAAATCATCAGCGTCGTCATGGGGGTATACCGCTAAAAGTTGAAAAGAAATATCTTACTACCAGTGCGTGTTCACAGTGATGACTTATGCAACTAAGATGTGGTCCTTCACTGCTGGCCGTACGAGGAACCTCGAGAACATTAAGCTGTCTATGCTCAGAGTTTATCTGTACGATAAACTGAGAAATGTGGATATCCACAATAGAACCAGAGTAACAATCATAACCCAACGGATTAGTAAACTGAAGTGTGTTGTGGCATAATTGGGGTATGGTCTATGTTTAGCAGTGGACCTTAATAGGCTGTAATGGTAGTTGGTTGTAAGTGTTAGTAGAAATTCCTAGATGTTTAGCAAGCACTTGGTTCTGCAGCATATGTTGTAAGAAAGATTAGAAGTCTCACCAATATCAAACAACTAGATTAGTTCAGATACTCCCCCGTAGATTGCCTTATAGGGGGAATATTTGCCATAGCTGCCACACTTGGCAAGCGGATTGGCAACCGCATTTTTTTATTTTGTAGTCGTTATTATAAAGATTTGTTTCCCTCTGCAGCCACTTACGACATCCACGGGATGATATGGGGTAATGGATATTCTTACACCGCCCAACTCGGTGAAAATATAAAATTTGAAATCACATATAGATGAAACATTAATGTTAATATTCATAAAGATGAAATATAAAGTAAGCTCAAATACACATAAAATTGCATAATTAACTATTTCTTCGCCTGATGACATC